TTAAACTTAGTATATCAAATAAAATATCTTTTTAAAATATTTAGCATGGATTAATTTGAGTTGTATGTCGACTCAGTTTTAAAATGGATTGAACTAAACGTGTCAAAATGAACTCAATTAATAAAATAAATAAGTTATTAACTCGCCCTAACATATATATAAAAGAGTTGAACGGATCCTAATTTTTGGAGTTGATTTTGACACCCTCATACTCTATTTTGTAGATTAGGAAAATTGTTTTCGATATACCTTCGAAAATTTATGAGAATCATCACAGAGGTGTTGGTTTATAAAAATGTAAATAAAATAAAATAAGAATATGGAGGTGGCATGCTTGGAGATTTATTGCTCATTAGTTGGTAGGTTTTTAACATTTATTGCCAACAATATATCACCATACATTTGATTTCTCTGTCTCTTTTTTTTTTTTTTTTGGAAGATAATATTTTATCAATTCATTTAAAGAAGTCAAAAAATTTTGAAGTCATTTACTGAAGATTTTGGTTTGGTTTTTGAACAAGAATTACAAACAATTGAAAATCGAAACAAAAGTTTGTCTCCCTAGCTAACGACGTGTTATACACTATCACTACATCAAAAATGATCATTAGCGGTAATTAATTCTTAATTGCCGCTAAATATGTATTTTTAGCGGCAATTAACACTCTTTATATATGTCCCTAAAGCCTTTAGCGACATTGATTCTAATGACACTTAACTAATGCCGGTAAAGACTTTAACACTCTTTATTAATGTCAATATTTAATGCCGCTAAAAATTATTTTTGTTGTAGTGTATTATACACTTTTATACGATATAAGTATATAATTTTCAAAAGAAATATTTATAGATGTAATAATAGAGGCGCGATTTGACAATGTGATGATTTAATTACTAGGATAATTTCAAGCAAATTGATTAGGGATCAATATCCTCGCTTGAAATAAATAAAAATTTGCTTGCATTAAAATAAAGATGACTTTTTTTTTAATTATTTACTTTATAACTTTGTTTATGTCATTTGTCAAGTGAAAATCCTTTAATATTTTAACATGTAAGGGTGTTTGGACAAGTGCATCAAATGATGTTCTACCAAGGTTAGAGATCGATACTCTTTGTCAACGTCTTCTTAGTCGAGTTCATTGCATGATTGGATTTACTTAGTGCAATTTACATTTCTGATGTGATTTGCGAGATTGTACTCAATTGAATTTATTTTGTCTGCATCCAAAAATCGTGATTGTGAATTTTCGTAGTTCAAAAAAAACTTTGATTATGTCAATTGTCAAGTGGAATTTTTTGCTAATCATCTCTCTTCTTTGATAAATGTTTGCTAATGACATCTTATTTTGTTTTGGAGGGATTAACATAGAAATTTGAGTTTGATGCCTTATTTTGTTTTATATTTTTATTATGTCAATGGTCAAGTGGAAACTTTTATTTTTTTTCCTTTGTCATATAAATTTGACTGCTTTTTTTCAATTTTTTAGTCGATGTCTGGTATTCTTATTAAAGACTAACTACTCTGGATTCCGCCGCGTTGTGCTCCATTCGAAAGAAAGCTCTCCTACCAAGAATTTTTTTCATACTAAAGGCTCAACCTGAGACATTTTGACATTTTCGTTGAGTAGCAAATTATAAAAAGCAATTGTTCGTAAAATTTATGTGATATTCCATTATTAATATTTCTTAAATCAAGTTTCCACCACCAATCAATATGAATTATGAGGTTTCCAATTTACTCCTCCCACCGTTTATTATTATTTATTATTATTAAATTATATTGTCATAATAAATTAATTTTAAATCCTAAATAAATAAAAAACAAATTATTCTCCAACCAAAGGATCCCTAAAGTTTCTAACTTTACAGCTTTCTTGGATGTGGATTGGACAATTTTTTCTGACAATTTTTTTTTACATTGGATTTGCAATTTTTATTTTAGTTTAGTATAAAAAAAAGGCTTTTTTTGTGGTGAATTGTTGACATCAAGTCTTACATTTTGTCAAATAGTATAAAAATAAAATATTTTAATTATATATAAATCGTTGAATCCGATTAATTTACTGAAAAAATATAAATTCATATTTTGTATATCTTAATATTTTTTTAATCCCACTATATAAATTCATGATTTTATTAGCATTTAGCAAATTAATAGAATTATCAATCTCTATTTAAAGTTTGTGTTTTACTATATAAATTCCGTACAATTTAATAATTATCACCAAACAGTTAAATCACTCACTATCTTTAATATTATATGGTTCACTTTCACAAATTGTCCGTCAAATTATAATTCATTGTATCTGAATTAAATAAATAAATATGTGACCAAAGAAAATAAAATTCACCAATGAGCACTCACTAGGGATATATACCACATAACAAAGGCATTACCAAAGATTACGATGGAGTGATAATTATATAGGTTACTCAAATTTTTCAAAATTATCGAAGGATGTATATTAGATTCTTTAAAAGTAGTATATTTTTTAAAGACTTCGATATGAGTGTGATAATAAAGGTGGAATAAGAATTTTGAGTTTATGAGTTCTGAATTCTAGAAAACGCGACTTACTAGGTCCTTGATGAATTATTTAGACAAATTAATTGAATGTTTAAACATAAATACAAGATTGGAACCAAAATTACTAGCAGTAAGAAAAGTTGTAGCTCGACCCCTACGTAGTAGCAGTTTTGGAGAATCCAAGCAACATACATAGGCGATACTTAAGTTATTCTCATATTTGATCATGAGGTTTTGATTGAGTTTGTATCACCTTTGATTGAAAACGTTTTAACCTTTCAAAATAGACTTCTCAACAGAAATTTAAATCAGTCAGACTCCAAAACGGACATCGAACACCAAATAAAAAACAAAAGAACACATATGAAAGGTTCCATAGCTATCTATCAAAGACATGATCACTATTCACCATTTACACCACCATGGCTAAAATCAGATTTTGGACCCACAATTAGTCCTTCAGTTTTAGTACACTGACATTCATAATATAGTAAAAAAAATAAAGGTAAAATTAATCTTACTGAAATAGAAAAAAGAAATAAAATAAAATAAAAGAAGCACTATTTTTCACTAATTTATATTTGCTTTAAAGGCAAGAGTGCTTCATTCATATACCAATATTGCCTTTTGGTGATGTTGCTTTCATTTAGGAACAAGACATAAATCATTGAACCTCTAGAGCCGATGTATTATTTATAGGTCGCGGATTCAAGTCTCGAAGAAATGATAAAGTTATTTTTGTATTATTTATAGGTCATAAATTTAAATCGTAAAAATAATTACTAATATTAACATTAAAATCAACTGTCTAGATCATACTTCTTAAACGCATCCTTTCATTGTACCACTCATTATATTTTGTGTACACCAAACCATTTTTTCTTCTTTGTCCTAGTGTTATACTTAAAATAAAATAAAAAAGTACACAAACCAATAGAGAAAGGGGCACATTTAATTGATATGATATTAATTCATCTACCTGTCAATTTTTTTACTTCTTAGATCTTATCTTGTCTTTTTTTTTTTCTCTCTCGGTGTTCAATATTTGTATTTAAAATTAATTATAAAAAAATTCATATATGAAGATCTCGTGTTAAGGATAAAAGTTCTCTTACAAAAGCGATTTCATGCTCATCTAAGATATTCAAATTCGAGACTTCTAATTAAAAAAATACTTATTATTCCACTAACCTTTATTGGCCTCATTTAAGATATATCTTTCGGTTTCTAAGATTTTTCGATTAAAAATATATTCTTATAAACGATGGAATTAGAATTTTTAATAATGATATTCATAAATAATATCAAAATGCCACACATGTTATTTGAACCTTGCAACTTATAATAGCAATTTTTGAATCTACCTTTATAACTAAAGTAGCTAGAAGTTGCTTTTTGCTTATAAAATAAATACGATAATTATTTATATACATAAGAAAATTCATTTTATTACTATAAATATGAATAATATAATTTTCAGAAGAAAGGAATTCAACTGAATTCCCTTGAAATCATGTAGCTTTGCCACTGACCTTGACACTAACTTAACTCACATGTTCAAAAATCATTATACAAATCTTTCTTTATACAAAAAGAGAAAATATCTTACTGTAAAACCAGAAAGAAAAAAAAAAGAAAAAAACAATGAAGTAAGTCTTACTACATGTAACTACAATATAGTAAGTACCTTTTATATTAAACCGGAGATTTTAGATTCGATTCTGAAAATAAAATTACAAGAATTACTTACGATGAAGTCCAAACTTTTATAATTAAACAGTAAAAATATATCGATAATTTTATTTAATAATGAATTTACGATAGATCATTAAGAATATCTCGTTAGCTAGGGGATATTTAGTGACAAATTATCGACGTATGTCATAGATAATTTCTTATTCAGTTAAGCTCATACAAATGAAATATCAAGTGAAAAAATAAAAAATACTATAAATACGAATTAGTGATGGATCATCAAAATCCCGTTAGCTAAACTTAATGATGAATTTTATAGCTAATTCCTTTTTTTTAATAGTAAAATATACATATTGATCGAACATCAGGTGAGAAATCAAAAAAATACTATAATAATAATGAATTATAACATGACTTCTTCACTACTATTTTGCTTTTCATATATGTTACTTGAGCCGAACGTACATCGAAAACAACCTCTTCACCTTCACACAATGGAGGGACAAGACTCTACACACACCACTCTCCACATGCCCTATTATTTGTGTTGTTGATGAATTAGCGATAGATCATCAAAATCCTATTTCCAACAAATTAGCGATGACTTTCATAACTAATTCTCACTACTTTTAGTCATTCAACAGATACCAAACACCGAATAAGAAATATTTTTAATTTTTTTTATATAATATAAATATATAATATTATGTCATGTTGGGCTCCACACTCATCTTGTTATTTATATCAAAATGTATTACCATGCTTTCTTCCCTTCTTCCATATACACCACCTTCCTTTCAACACTCTCTCTTGTCTCTCAAACTCTTTTCCATTCATATATTTTCCCATCTACATATTTTTATTTTCCTTCTCCATTTCAAAAAAAAAAAAATGTCAACAATTTTTTTCCTTCCTATTTTTCTTTCTTTTATTTTTCTCCATTCAACTAATGCTAATTATTGGCCAATTTCACCTGGATATTATCCAAGTACAAAATTTAAATCCATGAGTTTTTATCAAGGATTTAAAAATCTTTGGGGTCCTAATCATCAAAGTGTAGATAACAATGGCATTAATATTTGGCTTGATAGAAATTCAGGTTTAATTTTCTTTAATTATACTTGATTAGTAGTTTTACTACTTAATTTAATTTATTTTTGATAATAATAATATTTTCTTGATTTTTTAATATATTTTTTGTATAGGAAGTGGATTCAAGTCGGTTAAACCGTTTCGATCCGGGTATTTTGGGGCTTCTATTAAACTCCAACCCGGTTATACGGCCGGAGTCATCACTGCTTTCTACGTAAGAATTATTTGTGTTTTTCTTCGGACTCTTCAAAAATATTATCGTATTTGTGTCGAGTCGATAAAAATGCATTATTGAGCAATATAGATTGAGATTGTAGATATATTTGTTGAATATTTTACTAGTATCACATTCTCTAAAAATGTATTTTTATTTTTTGAGAATCTGATACACATGTCGATATTTTTGAAGAGCTGAGCAATGTAGATTTGAGTGAGTGTAAATAATTTTTATTGTGGATTTTTCATTTTAATTTGTGTGAAAGTTATGTTGTTTGGATTCTTCAAAGCCGTACTAGTATAATTCTTATGATACACACATCGACATTTTTGAAGAATTGAGGAAGATAGATTGATAGTATAAATATTCGTATTAGTGGATTTCCATTTTCAACAGCTCTTTGATCAGGATAATATTACCTAAGTTCCTAAACTTTAAATGAATGACGGAGAATGCTTGTGCTACAGTTGATTGGACATAAAATTAAAGAAAAAAAGAACTTTTAGTCTAAAATAACTTTTAGATATTTGTATGAGTACTATGACTTTAAATCATCTCCGTGATGATAAAATAAGAATTTTGAGGTTAATTATTTTTAAATATATAAAGATGATGACAATCTAACAGATTAAAAAAGAAAGTGTAAATTAAGAAAAATATATATTATTATTTTAATATGATTGATTTTCAATTAATTTGTATATTTAATTGATTAATTTCATTAAAAAAAAATTTATTTGGCAGCTTTCAAATAATGAAGCACATCCAGGGTTCCATGATGAAGTGGACATAGAGTTTCTTGGAACAACATTTGGAAAACCATACACATTACAAACAAATGTTTATATTAGAGGAAGTGGTGATGGAAAAATCATTGGAAGAGAAATGAAATTTCATTTGTGGTTTGATCCCACAAAAGATTTTCATCACTATGCTATTTTGTGGAGTCCTAGAGAAATCATGTAAGTATTAAACGTCTTCATAACAATATCGTTTGTTTGAAAATAATTTTTATTGTTAGTCTGATTCTAATATATTATTTAACATATAATATGATATGAATATTGACTCAAAATGAAATTTGATCAGTATAGTGAAATACTATTAATGTAGAAGATAAATGTTATAATGAGATCTGATTGTATATGGAGTACTTTTATTTATTTACTTCATTTAAGTAAGTTAGTGATAAGGAAATATTCTACCGACAAAAATTATTTGACACTAAAGTATGGTTGTCCTCCAATGAATTTAATCATGGTTTCCACCAAATAAATTTAAGGACATATGTTATATTTTGATACTTCCATTTTTCTTTTATTTATCATAGAGGGGACCATGTTAAGAGGACAATTCATGTTGTAGTCCTTTTCCCAATAGTAGTTTAAAAGTCCACCATTTTTCACCCAAATAGATTGCATATATGTCCAATATACATTAGGCCCACACACACCAAAAAGTAATTTTGAAAAAACGGTAAAATTATTATAATATGGTCTATATGTTATAAGATTCAAATGGTAAAATCAACGATTAATGCTTTTGTTAGAATGTGATGTTTGTTTTGCACCTCTTAGGATGTGATCCCTTCTTATTAGTTATATTATTCAGCATGAACGTAGAATGCTTTATATACATTTGAAAATTAATTTGATCGATTTTGAATTTAGATTTTTGGTAGATGATGTGCCAATAAGGAGGTATGCAAGGAGGAGTGATGCAACATTTCCATTAAGGCCAATGTGGTTATATGGATCCATATGGGATGCATCTTCATGGGCTACTGAGAATGGAAAATATAAAGCTGATTATAACTACCAACCATTTTTTGGAAAATTCACGAATTTCAAGGCAAGCGGTTGCACCGCCTATTCGTCTAGATGGTGTCGTCCTGTGTCCGCCTCACCCTATCGATCCGGTGGCCTTAGCAGGCAACAACGTCAGGCTATGAATTGGGTTCGAAGTCACTATATGGTGTATGACTATTGCAGGGACTTTAAAAGAGATCACTCCCTTACACCAGAATGTTGGCGCAAGTGAAACAATTTTGTTTGTATCTTATATTCATCCGATGAACATAACTAAGCGAGTTGTTCAAGCTATGGGATGTAATAGTATATCGATGGTACACGTGTCAATCTTTTATAGGATTAATTTCCTATTTTGTGTGAACTATCCTTTTTTTTTTTTTTTTTGTTATTGGGTATGGGGGTTGTGTTTCGGGTGGGGGTATGGGGTATGGGGTCTTGTGATAGGTACCACTTGTCAATATCAATTGCAAGAGTGTTGAGTGTCCAAGCTTATAGATTCCAAATAAAACATTAATAATACATAAAAATAATGAAAATGGTGTCTTTTTTATTTATGAAATTTTGTGCAAACATTTATTTAATATTTTAATTACCTAAAGGATTTTATTTTTTTTAAAAAAGGCCAAAAAAAATCATAAAAGAGGGTCATGGACAATTTAGGACTATGCATGGATGGTGGGGTATGAAATGAGTGCATTCATTTGTTATTTTTTTTTCTTAATAAAGGAGAGTTTTTTTTGTCTCTATTTCTTTTTCATTAATTCTTGTTATGTTTAGTCTCTTTATGGACCTCACATCTCAAGAAATATACTTTTGTTTATGAGTTTTCGCAATCAATTAGCTAACATGTTGGTTAGTCATAATATGAAATATGAAAAAAAAATCATTGACTTATTAAATTATCTATCGAGCCATGAAAAAAATTAACTAAGCCCCAATACAGATATCAAATATTTAACTTGTGGCTTCACATTTACCATTTTCTTTTAAAGGAGAGGGCTATTAAAGTTCAAAATATATAAAAGTAGAGTGCATAGTTACTAGGGAACTAAATAAGTGAGAGTAAAATAGAGTAGTTGTGAAGATGAGGGACCAAATCTCGACTTTGTTCAATCTCTAAGGATCATTTTTATAATTATATTTTCTTACGTATAATTATAACCATGGTAAATTAATGTACTCCATAATAACTAGTCGGTCGATCGATGTTGGGTCAGCCCCTATGCCTAGAACACTATTTGTCTTGAGAGTGGTTCAACCATCAAGCTACTTTGTGGGGGGTAAGGGACCAAGCTGAATCACTAGTTTTAATACCAAATATGATATATATATATATATATATATATATATATCAGTAAAAATATGTTTAAATAATAAAAATACGTTTAAATAGTAATGATAAGATTTTTAGTTAAAAGATGTTGTGGTAGGCTGTGTTTGTAAATTATGTTGTAAAATCCTACTCAGTACTCCCTCTTCTTGTTCCGTTATCTAGTTTAGTAGTTTTTTGTTACTAAATCTGTGTAATTTCTCCCAATTTTTTTTTTTAATTTTAAATGTTCATCTCTCTTCACCTTACTCTGTTCATCTCTTTTCTTTAACCCGGCAACAGAACCAGAAATGGTTAGATCAATAGGAATAAGAATGCCAATAGAAGCCCCTATCAAACTTCAAGATGGAGGAGATAGAGGAAAAATATTAAATATAGCAGCTCATGACCCGCAATTATGGAACTCAGTAATAGATGTATGGAAAGGAATAGTGGTAGGAGATTACATACATCATTATAGTGAAACAGATGCGGAAACTATGTATAGATACATGGAAACCTTTTTAGGAGAATCAATCAAAGGAGTATGTGAAGCGTACAAAGTAGCTTACCCTCAAGAATTTCAAGAACTAGTAAATATGAGACCAAACCCGTATAATTTCACTAATAAAATAACACAGTCTAATAACAGGAGAAGACCCAAATAGCGGACTAGTAGTGTTACAAAAGAATGCACTAATAAAGTTAGAACAACTTAGTATTACAAATTGGAGTCATATAAAAAACTTTTTGAAAGGCTATTTTTACTATTGTGCTATAAGCGGTAATGCGTTTGACCAAAGCTTGGGAAAAAAACTTTTTAACAAACTCCCAGGAGCCTTAGGAAGAGAAAAAGAAAGATGGAGCAAAAGAGAAGGAGTAATGCAGAATCCAAACGCTAATTGGTCTATTGGACATAAAATACAGCATGTTATGGAGATACTGCAAGAAAAATGTACAAACACAAAACAATTAAAACAAAACGAGACAGGTTTTTGTAAAAATATATACACAACGCAAAGTTATGATTAGAGTACATCAAAAAGAAAATACAAAAAGACATATCAAAATAACCAAGACTATAAACCAAGGAAAAAATATTATCTAAAGAAATTTGCGGCAAGAAAGCCTTATCTAGTATAACCTTAATTGTTCTAAATATAGCTGTCTTTGTTCTATCAGGAAGTCGTATATATCTATATAATTTTGTTTTATTCTTAAAAGATACCAATGATATTCTTGGTTAATTATAATTTGTTTTTCGTATGGCCTAAATTTTTTCTTATATATTCTGGATGGCATATATATTATTAATTGTATATAGGGTGAGTACTACGTTATTTATCCTAAAGGAAATATTAAATTACTAATATAATTCCTTTGAACTTCTATGCGTCTATTTGCGTGCTGGATATTACTATCTATGCTATGTAATTTCCACTTTAACGCACTTAATAATTCTGGGTTGACTCATTGGTCTGTTTAACGAATATAGACCCCCGTGATTACAAAGTTTGTCTGTTAAGTTTCTTGTTTCTAATATTTCTAGATATAGACTTAATGCCTCTTTTAGTCTCAGCCACTCAGATTTAGTCTGTAATTCTCTATATAAGTACCAATAATTTAACCTTAATTGATTGGCAAAAGGGTGTTTTTTCATATATTATAAATACTATATTAAATAAACTGAAAACTAAATGACACTCCTGAACAATAAATGCCCAAAACCTTCTTGTTCTGATACCAGTAAAAATACGTTTAAATATATATATATATATATATATATTCTTATGGATCGGTTAAACATTCCATTAGGTAGCTTGGTCTTGACTCTTCTGTGTGGTATTCATTCTCGATGCCCTAAAACTTTCAAATAATTTAGAGCAAATCAAGTCAATTAGTATATATGTCTTTCAAATGTGGCCCTGCAACTATTTCTTACAATTCATTTTACACCTCCAAATAATTATCATATATTTATTTGCCATTTCAAAATGTTGTGATTAGTCTCTATAAACATTTAATGAAGTGATCTAAAGAACATTATTTAAAAGAACATATTGTGAAGAAATCAATAAAGGACATTTAAATGGAGCATATTTGTGAAGGCAATAAAGTACATGTACATATTCATATTCACTTAGCATTATAATATAAATAAGTCCATTATTTTTGTTTCCTTATTCGGTATTATTTATATTAGGGTCTCGACTAATTCAATTCGCTCCGTGTAAGATTCATTAAAGAAGAAATGCTCTATATTGTATTTTTTTTTATTTTTTTCAAGATTCGAAATTGAGATCTCTGATTAAATATGAAGAAATCTTATTTATCTCACTGCAATACGAGGTATTAATAGATTTTCTTAGATGCCCTAAAACTTTCAAATAATTTAGAGCAAATCAAGTCAATTAGTATATATGTCTTTCAAATGTGGCCCTACAACTATTTCTTACAACTCATTTTACACCTCCAAATAATTTCATATATTTATTTGCCATTTCAAAATGTTGTGATTAGACTCTATAAACATTTAATGAAGTGATCTAAAGAACATTATTTAAAAGGAGAACATATTGTGATGAAATCAATAAAGGACATTGTCACAATCCAAAAATGGACGTGATAGCACTCGTCTTATCCCATCAAGACAAGTCAGCCTAAAACCCAACTAATACAGTGAATGCGGAAGTAAAACGTGAATAAAAGTCTAATACTATAAAATACTGCGGAAAACAAGGTCAACTTAATTAAACTCCCAAAACATGGTTGTCACGTGTACAAACCTCTAAAGTATTACAGTTGATTCAAAAGAAAAACACAAGTCTCAAATGACATTGTTCTAGAATAGAACAAGATCATAAATATGAGTAAGAAGGTCCGCTGAAATGACCAGCAGCTACCTCACAAACCTCCATAAGAAGCTTCAGATAAGGAGAAGAGAAAATATCACAAAGGTCCGGGCTAGTAACCTACAAAAATGTAGAAGCAAGGGGTGAGTACCAATCACACGGTACTCAGCAAGTAATCTTCTAAACACAAGCTAAGGGAATAAAATACGGGTACTCCTTACACACCAACCAAACCTCCACAACTACAACCTGCATAAATCAGCCAAACCTAACAGTTCACAGTGTACATAGCACCCAACTCAACAACAATCACTTTAACCAATTACATATCCTCAACAATAAACTCAATACTCATCAATCACAACTTCCACAAAAAGGGCACTCACAATATTAGCAACATACAAGATTAAGTTCATCAATAGAGGTAATCAAATATCAAGTACTTTCCAACCACCAAATAACACAAATCATCAAGAATGAAGGATGTCATGGGATGCAATGCAATATGACACCATGAATGAATGCCTCAGAATACCAAGTACTCTCTCAACCGTATATACATAATACTCCTCGGAAATACATTGATAGTTCATGACCCATGAGGGACTCGTGAGGTCCATATACCGACACGGACGATCTTCACGTGTCTGTGCGGACGATCTCAACGCACTATCATAAAATCAAACAATCCCCAGCACGGACGATCTCCACATGCCCAACTTATAATCATAATCAATTCCTCGCACAGACGATCTCCACGTGCCCAAATTATAATCATACTTGATCTCAACACGAACGATCTCCACGTGTTAGACCTTTACTCATACCCAATCTCATGTCAATGCATGTGCACAATATGATATCAATTAAAGGGGATGATGCAACATCTCAATAAATCAAATGTCGCTATGGCATATAATCACCTCAATTATCACAATATACGGGTTCAATAAAGAACTATAAACACACATAATAAATCAAGTCAATAATATATTAGCTAATTCCCATATGCTTTGGCATTCTCGGATTACAATCTGCATTCTATAGTAATAAGCTTTCCGTTTATAACATCGGTACTCGTACCATTCTCAACACATCACACACAAACAATTAATCACATTGCCTTTTATTACCCCTTTTCATCATTAGAATTAATAAAGGTGGACAAGTCAACCCTTCACCAAGTCCCATCACTCCCAAACACATACCACAAGGAA